ATTGATTTGTGGTTGAGATTAAATCTCACGGTTACCACAAACTAGTCAGTTCTTCCTTGAATGAGCCCCTATATATAGATGATTTCTGATGAGAATGAAAGTTACGGTGAAAAATGTAAAAAATAATTGCAACCTTTAAATCAATCTTAATTAAAGATCAACATTAATGAGATATATCAAGTGTACCAGATCAATTCAACAGTTGATATTTAAAACCCTTTATATATAATTTATATATTTATGAAAATTAATATATCCTGAATATACAATGATGGGATATATCCTAAATTTATTTAAAAGTGATAGGGTAATGAGAAGCAAAATAAATTTATATAGTTTTTGGAAAGGAATAATACATGCATTGAAAATGGACCACAATAATGTCAGATTGGGGTTGTGACACGTGTCTCTGTTTATGACGCAATTTTTAAGACTTTGCCGCTCATGTCTTTTTCCACCAATTATGCTATAGGGCCCACATCTAAGTGATTTCATGCTTAAAGTTATATTCTAGGCTTAAATATTGGAAAAAAAAAAATATTATCGGTCAAAAATATATTAATCGAAATTTCAAATTAATGATTAAAATTGTTACACCCAAGGTTTAAGTAAAAAACTGATCTAATAATTTTGAATCTAACTTAAAATTATGATAAAGTTATTGGTAGGTCACAACTTGACATTTATAAGAAGTTTATAAATCATATTTTTTTTATCCATATGAGACGAGTTGTTACAAAACATTATTGTTATATTAATTTTTTATTTAACTTGCTTCTACATAAGACTTTAATTTTGCATATGACAAATTTGATCCAAACAACATAGCAAAGAGTCGAACACGTACATGCATAGGTTGGCAAGAGCCTCGGTATATCGATTCTCTCTTCGAGAATTTATTTTACTTTTTTATTAACGTTACAAAACCTCAATTATTAAGCTTTTAGAGTAAATTACATTTTATTTGAAGACCCAACTCGTTAAAATACTGTAACCATATTGACAAATATGTTAAAAAAAATATGACAACCGACACTCGTTGAAAAATACACTCATAATTAAGAACTTATTTTGTTACTTTTTCAAAGTAAGAAGATGATCGGCATGAAACACCAAAGCAGAGGGACTAAAAAGGTAATTCACACCATGTTTTTATTAGCGACTGATCATTGTCACCCATCACTATCAGAAGCCCAAGTAGTTAAACAAGAAAAGAAAGAAACCCTAAAAATCACAAGTTCTTGATGAAGGTGTGTTCTGTTTGGTGTCATTGATCTTGTTGGTTTAATTAGCCCCATATATATATATATGATCTTGATCAAGGTGATTCTCCTTCTTTTCCTCTGGCAATGTCATCGCTTAAACCTACCGCAGATCTTCCGTAAGAATTGGAGAAGAATCTCTTTAATTTGTTCCCTCTGGATTCGATTCCATAGGTATATACGAAATAGCTCTCTTAGATTTACCTATATTTTAGTTGAATCTAAGAACTACTATGTCATTAGATTTTTAATTTGTACTGTTGATCGATCCATCGTTTTCATCTTCATGCTGGTTCTCATTGTTGCAGGAGGTGTAGCTAGTACTTCAATTTTCTGCAAATCTCTTGCATTTATTTAATGTTTCAGAAAAGACTTGAAGAACTGATCGCAGACGAAAAAAAGTTATTGATGCAATTAACCCAAATGCCATATATATGGTCATCTAACTATAACTATATATATAGGGTTGAGTCACGTGAGACCCGTGAAACCAATTTATATTCATTGATCAACTTTATAAGCTAACGATCTAATGGTCTAAAATTGCACAATGACAATTTTGTAATTATTGAGAAATCTCGTGTCAATTTTGTGATTATGAATATTGAGATTGTAGATCTAATCCAAGGGTTGAGAATTGGTCTTACGGGTCTCACGAAAAAGCGTTGGTCTCATATGATCCCAAGTCTCTCTCCATATATATTCAAAAAGTATGACGAACCATTAAACTAAAAGAGGGTTTTACTTAATTGAGCAGCATAGTTTATAACTATTCCACCTAAACCTTAAATGTAATCATAAACAAGAAACCCTACAACTTAAACCTATCTATTTGATTAGAAGATATATATATATATATATATATATATATATATATATACATATATGTTTGATGGTCGAATGATGGAGAGAAATACGTTATGCTCACGGGAACGTTAAGGTCGTTTAATTGGTTATTATACGTATCTTATATAAACTAGTTCCTGTTTTCGATTATCGTCTTATTTGTGGCACAGAGAAATTAACCAAGTAGTTTTCTAACATTTTTAATTAATGCTTAATTATACTAAGAACAAATTTGTTAATAAGTATGATCGAAACATAAGATGGAATAACAGACATATAAATATATTTAACATTATATTGGTAAACAAGTAGTATTTTTTTTATATCGAATCTCTTGGCACAACCAGTAGCTTGAATTATATCTTTTGAATATAAAATGCTTTGTTGGTTGATTAATGTATTTGAAATATGTCACTAAGGGAAATTATGTGTATTTTAACAATAATAAATATAACATTTTTTTTCCAAATATAATACATATAGACTAAAGTAAATATATATTTCCCCCCAGTGTCCCATTCAAAACTATGAAATGAAAGAAAACCTAGTCAAAAAGTGCGAATTCAAAGTTGAAACCAATTGAAATGTACATAAACGAGAATGCTAACTATTTAATAGAATAAGAAAATAGTTAAATCTTGTGTAAAATCGATCATATGTGATTTTACATTTGTAACACCTCCAAAGCCTTAAGTAACATACTAACCGAATAACTTCGAATTCAACTTAAAATCATGGTGGAAGTTATTGATAGCCTACTACTTGAGACTTATAAGAAGCTAACAATTCTCCTCTTCTATCCCTGTGGGACGAGTTGTTACAAACTCCCACACTTAAACTCCTGAAGTCCTCGTCAGGCCTACCCAAAATATTCCTCCGTCGCTTTGGGCTTTGAAGGTGTTACAAATTGTATCAGAGCTGATCCTTGGGGAAAACCTCATCAAGTATGATGAGTCCTTGAGAGGGGGTGCTTGTAACATCTTAGACGAATCTCACATTGCCGATAACAACAAGGAAAATTTTAGGTAGGCCTGACGAGAACGTCAGGAGTTTAAGTGAGGGAGTTTGTAACAACTCGTCCCACATAGATAAAATGTGAGAATTGTTAGCTCCTTATAAGTATCAAGTAGTGGGCTACCAATAATTTCTACCATGGTTTTAAGTTGAATTTGAAGTTATTGGCTCAGTCCGTTGAGGGGGTGTTGCAACATTAATGGCCAAAAAAGTGTGTGGGCAACCGCATCTTCAGGTTGCAGAACAAGGTTACGTGAATCATATGTGATTTTGTACGTGAAGTTAGTGTAAAGTCACATGTGAAATCGATTGGCTGTACAAACCAATCTTAACCGTCCCTGCAAGATTAGCTTGTACGTTATGTAACATTATTTGCTTTGTCATATATAATATAAAACAGGCCCTAGCTGCAAACCACCAATTGTACTTTTGAAATGCACTTACACCACACACACATATACATACATGCAACTCGCTTCTGTACATGACTATAACTGTGTGAGATTTTGACTCCTGAACAGTGGTATTGATATGCATGTAAGAAGAAAATTAAAGACGTTTGATGAATCAATGTGTGTTTGTGTGAGGGTGGCATATATGGAGCCAAGGCGACCATAGCTCTCTCTTCAAAGCTCACTGCCGGGGTTTAAAGTACATTGAACCATTTGCTTCCCGAGGAACACAGTGAAGACACATGGATACACACGCACACACTGTCTCTTATTTGGAGGATATATCATATTATAATTAATGAGAGACGACAATCAACCCTAATTTCATCAACTTGTCTTTTTGGTCCTAGCTACACCCACTTCTTACATACTAGCTATACCCTATAGCCTATAGCTAGCTACCCCCATTTGTTTTCCCTTTGCTTTTATGACGAACTAATTAGGTTTCTACCCATATATGATCCATCTTCTAAGTAGTTTATCTTCAAGATTTATGGTAATTGGTTTAATTAATGTCAAACCCAACCATCCAACTTAAAGTAGTTTATGAATTCATTATTCATTAATGGGTGTGTAATAAAAAGCTTAATGAGGTTATGTAACCTATATTTGATCTTCAAGTTTCCATTTGAATATTGGGTGGTTGTTTAAATTGTGTTAATTCATGCTACTTTTTCATGTTTTAACAAAAATTATATATATATATGTATTCGAGTATTCTGATGAGACTCACGTTTAGAAATGTATATAAAGTAAGTATAGTATGAATTCAGTTCAGCTAATAGTTACGATAGATTTAGGCACAGATATAGATCATTCATGTAACTGGTCTACTCTATACCATTTTAATTAAGTTTGGTTGCTGTAATGATAATTAATTGGAGAAACTCAGTGTATGTACATGTAGTTAATTATCATCACTACTTGAATGCACAATTTACTCTTTAGCAGTTCAAAAGGACACAGGGAAAAATGATGGCGAAGAAAATTCGTATGTCAAAAATTAACGATATGAATGCTTAATGAAATCACTGCAAGGAAGTAAATCATCAAGATCAAGGTTGATCAAAGTACTGCTTAATATAAATGGAGATTGGAGAGTACTATTTTCGGAGTTCAAAAAAATAGAGAGACATGATATCACTAGCTCTCTCTGTGGTGTGACTAAACATGAAAGAAACATGGTCGCTAGCTAGCTAGAGAGAGAATCAATTAATTACATCTCTAAGTGAGAGGGAGATGATGTTGGGGCTTTAAAGAACAAAGCTCCATTGGTGTTCTTGTTCAGTCTTTTACCTTTTCACCTTTTTGGTCATCTTCACTATTCTCTCTCTAGATATCTCTCTGTGTGTCATCTCTTTTTACATAATTTAACCTATCTAGCCATTGACCAGTTGATCCTTGTTTCCTGCTGGCTTTCTGAATCATGAGTAATGATCATCAACCATACTCAAGACACTTCAATGGATCATGGTTCAATCTCAATAGTACTCAGCATCTGTCTTCTTTGTACTCTTCTTCACCTCCTCCTCCCTTTTCTTATGCATCTTTTTCTCGCTACTATGAACCCTCACCTCCTTCTCCACCTCTCAGAGAAGCTCTTCCTCTCCTCAGCTTAAGCCCAGCAAGAAGATTCAACCATGATCTAGAATACCCTTTCGATACTACTAATGATTCATGTGCCAGCAGGTCCATGGAAATTGATCCCAATAGCATGCCTTCTGATGATCAGGAGACTGTGACTGTGGCTCTACATCTTGGGCTTCCAAGCCCCACCTTTTCTGAAGCTGATCTAATTTCAAGACTTTCCACTGATACACATAATAATATTGAAAGCGATCATAAACAAGTGGAGAAGGAGGAGGAGGAAGAAGAAGGTACAATTAGTAATGGGTATCTTACAAGCACACTAAACAAGGGTCAGTACTGGATCCCTACTCCAACTCAAATTCTGATTGGCCCAACTCAGTTCTCTTGCCCTCTTTGCTTCAAAACCTTCAACAGATACAATAACATGCAGGTATTACACTGAAAATCTCTAGAGCCTTTATTTCCATCCCTAGCTAGTTATTATAATTTTCAAAAAGAAAAAAAATAGATAAATCAGAAAGCCCAATTTCTTCTTTCCTTGATTATGAATTAACTTCATTTCTTGATTCTTGTCAATCTTTCCTTCATTTTTACTGTATTTAGAGCAAGGGTTAGTTCCCTCTATTTTTCCACCTTTCAAATTTTGATTACTTACAGTAGCATCAGGGTAACAACTCCTAAGTTTTTGTGGGGTTTTGAACAAAAATCAAGAGTTTGATCCAACTGTCATACTTGAGTATCGTTAAGTACTATTCCCTTCCGATCTAGAGGTCAATTTATGATCTAGATTGGTCAGCAGTACTGCTTCTAAATGAAAAAACAAATCTACTTTATATCTGATTGAACAAGACAATCATTATGCTTTTTGTTCCTTGAAGTTTGGTTTCTTTCTTTTTCTCCTTTCCTGAATACTTTGGCAGTTACGTCAACACTGCAACCTTTTTATTGTTATATTCATCCTCTCTGCTCCAACCCCGATGCATTTATAATCTTCAGTCCAAACAAGAACAGCAATAAAGAAAAATAAAGCTTCTTCTGATCATATGTCTGTATAGCTCTGACCAGTTGCACAGTTTTAGTCTACGACATGGAACTTCTCGTCCACAAATTAACCCTGCATAATTAAGACCGCTTTTGTATATACGGTTGTTGGGATCAGCTTCTTATTTTATTTCTAGGTTCATCTCAAACCACATATAGTATTTTCTTTTCTTACTTACTTGAAGAGAACAAAATTATGTTTTAGTCCTTTGTGTACTGTGATCAATGTTGGTTCAAGCACAATTTTGTCTTCTTCTGATTGATTTTTTATGGTACCATATATCCTAGAGAAAGTTGTTGTATGAATTAAGGAGCTCTTAATTATGGAGAACCTAACAGTTCCAAGAAGGCTCTACAGAGAACATACTATGACAATTTGGTAGTTCATTCTTCAATTCAGTTCTGAGAAGTCCAAATACTGATCAACACTATTAACTTTCAGAATGGGACGACCAAACAGTTATATTTGAACCCCCAAACCACAATCTTTAAGATGACCTAGTAAAAAATACTACAAAGTTAAATGTTTGATGACGTTTTGGGCACTACAAAGTTATATATAATCTAGAAGATTTTTAGCTTGAAGATTATGTATTGCATCTTCTAATTTATTTGAGCAAACAAGTTCTGCAGATTGATGCTATGTAATGTGTCGACACAAGTTTCATGCACTGTAAAACTAATTTAAGTTGTGAAGACACATAAATTTAGCTATAAATAGCAGTGTCCTAAAAATTTAAGTGGGGGTCAACCTTTCTCATGATCATACATGTTCATGAATTGAAGTTTATCGATTTCAAGGTAACAGTTCGCGTCCAAAGTCAGTCAACCATCTGTGTCTGCTTAATGCTTTTTTACTTATATAAATGCATTTCCTAGTTGGGAACTAGGCCATTAACATATATATATATATATATATATATCCACCATCATTTATTAATCCTCTTGCTTGATTGATTGCATATATATATATATATATATATATATATATATATACACAGATGCATATGTGGGGGCATGGATCTCAATATAGAAGAGGCCCAGAATCCCTAAGGGGAATACAACCAACAGCCATGCTAAGGCTGCCATGCTACTGCTGTGCACCAAGGTGCCATAACAACATTGATCACCCAAGGGCTAAACCACTCAAAGATTTCAGAACCCTCCAGACACATTACAAGAGGAAACATGGGATCAAGCCGTTCATGTGCAGGAAATGCAGTAAGGCCTTTGCGGTGAGAGGGGATTGGCGAACCCATGAAAAGAATTGTGGGAAACTTTGGTATTGCAGCTGTGGATCAGATTTCAAGCACAAGAGGTCTTTGAAAGATCACATAAAGGCATTTGGAAATGGGCATGCAGCATATGGAATTGATGATGAATCTTGCTTTGAATTTGAAGAAGAAGAAGCTGCTTCTGAGATTGATCATCAAGACAACGACCACTTACAGTGATCAATAATGAATCGAGGTTAATTAGTTTCTCTACTAAATATTGTTTCTAATTAAAAATTACTTTGAAGATCACCTTTGAAGGACTTTGATTTGCTATATATCTACTATATATATATATGTTCTTCTTATAATCTATGATTTCATGAGACTTGTGGATCTAGAACTTGTAAATTCCGCTTTAGATATTGGAGTCCCTTGTTAATTTTATAAGTTATAATTTCAGAAAATAAATAGTGCAGTTAGTTATTGTGGAGTAACAGTTTTATGACAGTTTGTTTCTGTCTATTAACTGTCACGTATGGTTACATACGCCTTGTATATATATATGTATTTGGTCACTGTAATTGTGAGATATATTCCCTCCAAAAACAGTGCAGAAATATAATAAACAAAGTTCCATTTTCTGCAGTCTTCTCCATTGTTTTTCTGTCCAAATTCTTACTGCGATCAACAGCAAGTTTGTTTTCTATATCCAACAAATTGGTATCAGAGCAAGGTTCAAGAAAACTACAGAAAAAAAACTACATCTCATTTGGACAGAAAATGACCTCCACGAATAACAACAATATACAGCCCCATCTTCCACGTTTCACTGGAAAAAATTATCACCAGTGGAGCACAATGATGAAAGTGTTGTATGAGTCCCAAGATCTATGGAATATAATCGAGAACGGGGTTGAAAGTCCTGTAAATGTTGGTGCATTAACGGCGCAACAAACGAACGACTTGAAGGAATTAAAAAAGAAAGACAAGAAGGCACTATATTTTATCTACCAATCTGTTGATGACGTCGTGTTTGAACGTATTTCAACAGCAACTTCAGCAAAAGAGGCATGGGACACTCTTTTCGTGTCCTATAGAGGTGAAGAACGTGTAAAGATTGTTCAATTGCAAACCCTTCGTTGTGAATTCGATTTGCTGAGGATGAAAGACACGGAATCTGTTGAAGAGTTCTTCAATCGGGTGGTCGCACTTGTGAATCAAATACGTTTGAATGGTGAAACTGTGGGAACACAAAGAGTTGTGGAGAAAATACTCCGAAGTTTACCTCGAAAATTCGAATATATAGTAGTTGCAATTGAAGAGTCAAAGGACTTATCTACGTTGTCCCTTGAAAGTTTGTTGGGATCATTAAAATCTCACGAGTTTCGTATGAGACAATTTGATACAACAACCACCGAGCAAGCCTTTCGATCTCAAGTTTCAATCAATAAAAATTCGTGGAAGGATAAAGGAAAGACTTTGAATCGTGGAAAGGACGGGTATACATTTCGTAAGCAAGAAAATATCAGTTTAAGAGAAAAAGGAGAATCATCTTCTAGATGGAGAGGGAACAATAATAGTAGAGGAAGGTTTCCATCACAATTAGTTCAATGTAATTATTGTCAAAAGTATGGACATACTATTGGGAGGTGTCGCAAAAGACTAGCCGAAGAAAATAAGGAGTCTACATTTATGCATGAGAAGCCTTTCAAGACTGAAGACACTATGTTTCTCACTTGCGAAACAAAGGCAGATTTGCCGGATGAAGTTTGGTATATCGACAGTGGTTGTAGTAACCACATGACCGGAAATAAAGACTTATTTGTGACTTTGGACGATTCTCTCCAAAGG